CAGCGGAGCCGGCGTCGCGGGGCCGCCATGCCGCCCAAGTTCAAGCGGCACCTGCACGACGACGAGGTCACGGGCTCGGCGAGGAGCGAGCGGGTGGGTGGCGCGGGTCCGGGCGCGGGGGCGGGCGGTCCGCGCGGCGCCCGCCGAGCCGCCCGTGACCGCTCCCCCCTGTGCCCGCAGAGGAACCTCCTGGAGGAAGACTCGGACGAGGAGGAAGATTTCTTCCTGTGAGTGCGGGCGGCGCGGGGGCGGGCTCCCTGGCGCGGGAGCCGCGCGGCGCGGCGCGGCGCGGCGCTCCCTCCCGCCGCTCTCACCGCTGTCCTTCCCGCACGCAGGAGGGGCCCGTCGGCGCCGCGCCTCGCAGCCCGGAGCGACAAGATGAGGCAGTAAGTGGCGGCCGCGCGAGCCCTGCCGCCGCCGTGCCCGCCGCTCCGCGTCCCGCGCCCCGCCGCGGGGCCGCCTGCCCGCCCCCAGCCGGGGAACCCCACGGTCGCTTGAAACGCCGAGGAGCTGTGCCTTGGTACAGGCAGAGGGCTGTAGCTCGGGAGCACTGTGGTGTTTCCAACGCCTGTGCTGTGCTCTCCTCGTGGGCCGTGTCTGGCTTTTACCAGTCTCTCTATTTTTGAGCTAGCTCGCTGCTCATGTACCCTCTTTTTATTGTTTCGTTGCCTCTTCCAGTTCTCTGTGACTCCCTGTTCAGTTTTCCAAGGAAACAAATGGTTGGGAATAGGTGAGGACCACTTTTTCTCAGGCTGCTGGCTTCGTGTCCTCTAMGGGAAATCTTTATCAGGGTGAGCTGGGGCTGAGCAGTGATGCGGTGGCATCAGAGCAGGTGCACAAACAGGAAACCWGTACCTGGGCAGGAGGGTTATTGGCCGCAACAGGGCGAGAGCGGAGCAGCAGACACCCTGGAAATAGGGCACGAAGGAAGGAACAGCTGGATCCTTCCCGCAGCGAATCATTTCCTGGGTGGTGCTTGGGATGAGCTCCAGCTGGCCCAGGCTCTCCTGTTAGGGATGCCATGGTGGTACTTCATGGAAGGGAGGCGCAATCCGCACAGGCATGCCAYGGGCTGCTGGAATTTGCTTGTGCTGGTTCCTTTTCCCTGCAGTGCAGTGTCAAAACCGAGATCCCAACAGTGTGAGCACTGCCCCCCAGTCGCTCTTCATGGGGTATCCTTAGTTTCGTGATGGGAAGAAGCCAGTAGAGCTCTGAGATGCCCCTGTGCCAAGSTCAGCGACGGGCAGGGTTTGGTTGTGTGCCTCAACAGCATTWTCTTCAATCACAAGGTGCCCCTGAGTTGCAGAGGGTGCTGCTCCCTCTGCCCTGTGTTTTCCAGGGGGTTCTGTCCCCTCCTGGGTGCTGGGATGCTGTTGGTGGGGCCAGACCCGTCGTTAGGACAGGCTGGTGTGGAGGAAGCCTCCCCTGTAGGGCAGTGCCACCSTAGCCCAAAGCAAACAGAAATCAATAACCGCTGTCTTTCTTAGCTCTCCCCCAGCCAAGTGTAATGCCCATCCCTCAGTCTTTCTTCCCTGGAATAAGAACTCTTTTTTGGATAGAGAAATCAGAGGAGTTGGTGGGAGCCAAGGGAGAGTGTGTTTTCCAGGAGGTGAAGGATAATGCAGCAACTGTGAAATGGAAGTGAACTGAAAGAAGGATTAATCCAGGAGGTGGTGGGTTGTACAGCTAGTTCATAGGTATGAGGTGACTAATGCCCAACATGTATGTGCCAGCGGTTGCCTCTCCAGCCATGTAATTTTCTGGACCCAATATAAGGAATGTCCTTTACTAACCCTTCCCTTGGGGGAGCCAGCGGTTGCATTTATTTAGGCTCTCCAGGCCTGTGCAGTGGAATCTGTTTTCTGCTTTCCTCAACGGTGACTACTGTGTTCTGTGAGCACTTGCCATGTGTAGGAGTCGCTTCTTGTCCARTAGCTTTTCATAACAATTGTGATCAACTGGCCTTTGTGCCTGGTCCCATCGTGGTACACRTCTCTCTTACTTCATCAGAGGAGAACAAGGACTGGGTTGTTGCTGAAGCGCTGTTAAGACAAGAGATTTCAAGGAGGAATTTGAGTATTTGGAGAGCTCGGACACAGTCGGGTGAAGCTAGAGGAACTGGGCTGCGCAAAGCTGGAGGGAGCGACGTGTCAAGGTAGGAATAAAAGGAGACCTGGGTGGAGAAAGAGGTGATGGGATCATGGGAGCTAAGGGGTGGAGCATATGGGATAAGAGAGGTAAGATTGAAAACTTCTTGCYGTCCTTGGCATCAGAGACACCTGGGCTGGTGTGGAGAATTTGRAGCAGAGACCCTCTGGGAAGGCCTGGCTGTAGGAAGAGATTGTTGGCAATACCRCAGACTTTGGAGGGAAAACAGAAGGGCTCCAGTCAGTGATAATGGTAGGAATAAGTGTGACAGTTCCCTCTGTGCTGGYGTGTCTGGATGTGCAGGCTCTGTTGTCCCAACAGATACTTGATGGGAGTGGAAGCTCCCAGGTAACTAAGCGCGATCCTTTAGTGTCTCTCTGATGTGTCTCCTTATTCCTGAGGCTGTTTAGCTGGAGCTGAGAGTTCTTTTTATCAAGGTTTTATCCTTTTCTCCAGCCTTGTAACAAACAAGTAAAAGAACTGGTCTCTCTACTGTTGCTTTCAGGCCCTGCAGTGAGAGCTGTCAGTGCCTTTGCTGGAGAAGGGGGAAGTCCATCCTCTGCCTGAGCTCCGTTCCTGTGGAATAGGAGCCCCTCCTCACAGGTCATTGTCTCCATGCTGGTACCAGAATCCCTCTTTTCCATTGCTGCTTGGCTTCCTGGAGAGCACGTTCTCTCCAGTGCTGCACCCAGAGTCCAGTCTTGGTCCTTGCAACTTCTTTGGTCCTCACCACAGCTTGGGCTGCTGTGGAGCACAGCCSGTGCTCCACAGGCTCGGGGTACAAGCCCCAGGTTACTGGGGAGGGGGCAGAATTTGAGCAGTGGCTCAAAGGCAAGAACTGATGGTCCGTTCCCAGGCCCTGGCCACTCCTCATGGGAGGATGAGTGCGCTGCAGACTCTGTTGTCCAGGCTTTCGTACAGAAATGATGCCAAGACATTGGATGCCTGGGTGTCCTTGCTGGACTCTATCCTCTCAAAGACAAGAAGGCCTTGGTGAGGCATAAACTGTTGTGTTCCTCACAGCTGTGTTGAAGCAGCAACTTGAACCGCACGAGTGTGGCTGAGTTAGGCAGAGGCACCTGCGGGGCAGTGTCTCCGCGGGCACCTGGAGCTCGGGCTGCTCCCGCGGCAGCTGCGCCRGCCRCAGCAGCCTGTCTCTCCTCTTCCCTTTTTTCCTGGATTACTGCCACCACGAGGGCTGTTGAGGAGGAATTTTCCCCAAAATACACATAGCACTAATAATACCCACGTGTAGTCTAGTGTGGAGAAGAGAAGCGTGTCATGCTGGTCGCAAAGAGCCAGCAGCGAGCTGGAGCAGCAGCAGGTCCTGCGGGTGTGCACGGGGCGCTCGCGGTGTCTGAAGCCCGTGGCACTGTTGTTGGCACAGCAGTGTCACCGGCGCGTGGAGGTTCTCGGCAGCTAACCCAGTGCGGCCGAAACGGGCTGCTTCCTCCTGCTCTCACCCAGGCAGGACATGTGAAAGCAAAGATGAAATGAACGTCAGTGGATCTCCTGTTGCTGCTTTGGTAGGAGTGCAGGTAAAAGCAGTGTATCTGCGGTGGTTAGTATGAAGCAGCACTTATGAGATATGTATTTTATGCTTTTCTCTTATTGCCTTTCCTGGCAAGCGTTTATTCCATTTTCTTTGGAAATCTGTCAGAGTAGGGAGATGCAGGAGTGAAATACGTGAAGTGTGTATGTCAGAAGCCAAACGRTTCCCTACAGCAAGCGTGCTTCTTATGAGATTCATTCTTCCCTGCCAAATAAAAGGAGGAAATATTTTGTTGTTGATGTGACTTGAGTTTCCAACCTCAAGCATGCAGTGCTAGTGGGAACTGAGTTTGTTCTCAGCCTGCAGGACTAGTACACAGATCTTTCAGCCCCTTCACACAGAGGCGTTTTTGCAGGAGTGATGGATGAGGGGAGAGCAGAAAGCATGGTCTGTTTACTGGTGGCTGAGGCATTCTGTGGAGACGGGAGCTCCCTGGCTCATTCTCCTCCTTTCTGCTTGTTCCCAGGTTCCCCTTTTTGGTCAGATACCAAAGTGTTTTGGGGTGCTGAAATGACCCTGCTTTCAGTGGGAGTTAAACACGTAGGCATCGATGAGAGTTTGGGCCTTGATTTCTGTGCAGCCCCAGTGAGAGGCAGTGGGATGCTGACTTGCAGTCCGTGCTGTGGCCAAAGCTCCACACAGTCTTCTAGACGTGGCATGCAGCAGAGCAGCTTCCAGCTGCCTGCTTGTCCCGTTTTTTCCATTCCTGTTTCGGGGTGCCTTGGGCTGCAGCAACGTTATTGCAGGCTCTGGGTGGTGCTGGCTGGGGCACCCAGCTGATGCTTCTGTGTGTGTTGTATCCTCCTCTGCTGCTGCTTGTTACTCACATGAAGAAACTGGGTTACAAATCCATTGTGGGAGGAAGTCTTTCTTTTGGAGCCAGTAAATGGTTTTAGAAATATTTGCATCCTGAAAATGTAGTTTTCTGCCTATTAACTCCAAGGCCTTAACATCTTTTTTTTTTTTTTTTTGCCAAGTTAGCTCGTGTGGGAAATCAGATGTTCCTGGTTTCCCTTGCTTGTAGCAGAGTTGCCTGTGGTTCTGAGTTCGACTTGTTCTTTGTGCCTAGGTACAGAGATTCCCACCAAGGCCTAGGTCCCACAAGACCTCCTACATCCAGCACCTTCATCTGTTCATTGGGACACTAGCCACTGGCTGCTTCCTTGGTGCCACCTTCGCTTTCTGTGTGCACTGAGTTCAGGCAGTCCTGTTACTGTCCTCTTAGGTTAGAGCAAACAGTGGATCAAAAAGGCTTTGTGGTCATGAGACAGGTTTCTGCTGAGAGATGCCCTCCAGGAGAGAAACTCCTGGCAAGCGACCGCCTGCTTCCCGAGCCAGGAAGCCCCTCCATATTGTTGTGTTCCCAGCGCTTGGGAAGGGAAAGATGACTTGTGGCTTTCCTTGCTTGTTTTGGAATGATGCGTGTCTACGGGGTGTCAGCRTTCACACTGAAGCCACTGTTGGTCGTTTCAGCTGCTGCTCATGTGTTACCCTGGGGCAAGAGTCTGCTCGGGGAGAGGCTGTGAGGGAGTCRGGAGAACTCGGCTGGTGTAAACCTGAAAGTGGGATGTGCTCTTGGCCTGGTGGCGCGTGGCTCCCGGTGACAGTGATGGGACAGGGTCCTGTTCCCTGTTGCCCTGCAGACTGGCTTGGGCAACTGCTGCCACTCTTGTGGCCTCAGGCGCCTGGGCTGTAACAGGCTGTGCTTTGGGATTAGGGCTGGCTGAGGGCTYCCAGCATGCTGGGGTCAGCCTCCTGCAGAGACCCTGATCTGGCAAATAGCATCAAACAGCAGCTGTGAGACGCGGACGGGGAGGAGCAGGTTCTCTGTGCGTTCAAGGAGCATGAATAGGTTATTGCTGGATAATTTGGGGAGCAGGACAGGGTAGATGTATGCAGGTGCAGGCGATGAGGTGGTAGCAACCCTTCCTTCCCTTGGGAGTGCCAGTCGTGCAGTGTAACTAGGAGGTGCCTATTTCTGGTAACTCGGGAACTGCTGAAGTGGCCTAGCCACGCTGCAGGTTTTGTAATGCTGGAGGAATTTCAGTRTTTTTAAAATGCTTAAGAGTGCGTGATGAATGCAACTTAAGAAGTCAGACATCAGACTTTACGCAGTGTGAGTGTCCCTGGGTTATTTCTGTTTCGTTACCCTGTGCACAGCGTTGTCTCCAAGACGCTGCTGCTGCTATTTACTTTCTGAGCGCGGTACGTCTCAAACAATGTTGTCTCCCTAGGGCCCAAGAAATTTCTTTCTTATTTTCCTGGAGATAGAAGTGTTTTTAGCTCCAAAATACAAACCAGAATGTAGCAGTATTTTTCCATCAAAAGAATTCTTTTCTCAAGTGTGGCTTTTTTTATGGATTGAATAAATACATTTATAATAACCTTGCGGGTGTGATTTTTAGGCTACTGTTCACTGAAATGACTACCCACAATGTTGCATAACCTGCAGGAAGTTTCATTATAATAGTGCTGTTTGGTTCATATTAACTGTTTCTTTACTGTCCTTTTGCTACCAAAAGACACGGAGTCTGTCAGGGGAATATTGCTTTCTGGAGGAGGGAGCACATCTCCCCAGTTTTGCTCCAAGTTGTTTAGCCCTGCACCATGCTCACCAGGAGACAGAAACCACTAGTATTCTCAGCAACCTCCCTCTGCTCTTGTTCCTTCTTGGTCTTGCTCCCTGCATCGCGGCAGCTCGGGCAGCTCTGCATGAGGGCCTGTGCTGCAACGTGCAGTCTGTGTCCTTGCTTCCTGCCCCTCACTCTGGCTTTGCTTTGCTCCAGTGTCCAGAACCAGGTGGATGAAGTCATTGATGTTATGCAGGAGAACATCACGAAGGTAATCGAGAGGGGCGAGCGGCTGGATGACCTGCAGGATAAATCAGGTGCGATGCCAAATGCAGTTTCCCTGTCTGCCCATCCTCTTCCTTGCATCTCTTCCCCATTTGGAAGCTGGCAGCCCAGCCCAGTAAATCGAGAGTGTCTGTTGTGGACTTGTCCSTGCTTCGTGAGGTTTTGTAGTTCCAGCCTTCCTAAGAATGGTATTTCCCAGCCCTGGGCTATGCAGATCTAACTTTCTGGTATTTGTAAGTTGCTTTCTGGTGTCTCACCTTGGTTTGGTCACTAAGCAGCCTCAATCTGGCTGTCTGCTCACCTCTTGGGAAAAGATCCCTCCTGTCGCTGCAGTGGCTCTTCAACCTCCTCCTGTGTATGCAGATAGTAGTGGGCTGTCCCAGCTCGTGTGGTCTCAGTAGAACCCAATGCCCTGTTAATGCAGTGATATGAGACCAGTCTTGTAAGAGATCTGGGTATGTAAATGCCAAGGGTTTAGTTTAGAGGCATTTGGATGCTGTGCTCTAGCTGGTTATCGAGATAGCTTAGATTGGCCTGCTTCAACATGGTTCTGAGCAATTCAGCTGTCTGCTCTGTGGCTTGCAAAGTGCTCRCAGCTCCTTGCTCGGAGGCAGCCAGGGCAAAAGGGGCTTGCTGGGGCTCTGCAGCCTCACGTGTGCTCCCGAACCAGGCATACTGGAATCTGCCATGGCCTGGGGGAATCRCACTGTGGTTAGGTCTCTTCCCCTATTGCCAAATTTGTTGCCTGAAACTAAACAGAGTTGGTGGAACAACAGGATGCTCTGTGTGTGTGCTGTTGAATGGCCTCTCTCCTTTCCTTCTGACAGAAAGTTTATCAGACAACGCAACAGCTTTTAGCAATAGAGCCAAGCAGCTTCGAAGACAGATGTGGTGGCGAGGTTGCAAGGTGAGTGGGAGCCGGAACAGGCAGCTTCTTCATGCAGATCCTTCTGCAATGGGCTGAAAAMCAGGGTCACTTTGGGTGCCAAGAGTGCAAGGGAACAAATAAGGTATAGGAAGCACCTGTCCTGTGGGTTTGCTTGTAACGACGTGAGCATGGGAAGGCTCAGTGCTGGAGGTGCCCCTGGAGCTGGTGTGTGAATKTGGCATGGGAGCTGGCAGGAGGCAGCGCTCCCACTCAGTCCTTGGGGTCGTGGTCCAGCGAGCAGTCGGCTGCATGTCCTGTTTGATGGGGCAGGGTGGGAGATGCTCTGCTCCTGYTTCTGGCAGGATGATTTGAAGCTGGCCTGTAGGCTAGAGGCTAAAGGCCTCGTTGTGTTCCCTGTAACTCATCTTCCTTCTTTCCCTTGCAGATGAAGGCGGTCATAGCCCTGGTGGCAGTCATTCTCCTGCTTGTGATCATCAGTGAGTACCTTCAAGTCACCCCAGCTCTGTTTAGCATTGAAATGTTCATGGCASTGTTCACCATGCATGATGCTCTGGTGTCTGTCCCCTAGAGAGAAAGCAACTGAGCTGTTCCTGTTGGGAACATGCTGGCCTGCTGCGTGAAGCAGCAAGACGTGGTGTCTGCAGCCTACATGGTGCTTCTGCTCTGCAGAGTTGAAGTGTGCACATGGAGGAGCTGGCTCATATCACGTCCTGCTGTTACTAAAGCAGGAAGGGTCGATACAGCCAGAGCTGCAGTGAGCCTGGGTTAGCACTAGCTCATGCAGAGGCTGTGTGGCTTGTAGAGGGACGTGGTAGAGTTTCAGACCACAGTGATACCTTCAAGGGCGTCTCCTCACACAAACCATGTTGCAGGGGGGCTGCTCCCAGCAGGTGCTGCCTTTCTAAACTGCCAGGCTGCTGTTCAGCCAGGAGCTGGCATGGGTGCTTTGCTCTGGCTTGCTGCAAGTTGGTCCTTTCCTGCTTTTCCTGCTGAATAGGTAGTAACGACCAGACTGCGTTTCTTCCAGGCAGGGGAGTAATTCAGCCCTCTGCTTGCTGAGCAACGTGCTCCTAGGAGAGCAGCTTTTCTGTGTCTGTGGTCCTGGAGGAGGGGGCTTTCCTGCCATTAGCTCCATCGCAGCTGCCATGCTGCCCTTCAGCAACACCAGCATGGCCTGTTGTCCTCTTGTTGGTGCACAGCTGGGAGCAGAAGTCACAGAGCTGACAGCAGGGTGGGAGCATGCTGTGGAGAGACTGGCTGATGGAAAATCCCATCTGGTTTCAGTTGAGGAAGCTGGAAGGAGATGAAGGTGGCAGAGAGTGTTGTCTAGTATGTGCCAGCAGCAGACTGCATTGGCTTGAGACTGGAGACATGCTTTCCCCCACATGCTTACTGTTTGTGACTGCAGAAACATGGGGGTTTCTCTCTGACAGTGAGATTTGCTGCTGCGTTCAAGGCACGAGCTGAATATTTTTATGTCTTTTTCAGTACCCATAGTCCTGAAGTACCGTTCCTGACTGGGCAGCTGGAGGCTTCAGTGGAACTGGCTCTGGGATAACCAAACTGCTGTGTAATTTAAGTGAAATATCTGTATATAGACTTGAAGTTGTTTCTCTCGAAGGAGAAGGTGGTGGCAAATAGCCAGTCCTAACAGAGCATATTGAGAACTGCCAAATGASCCTTTTTTTGGTCAAGTACCTGCTCCTGTTGTTAGACCTCTTTTATAACAGAAGATTCAGCTCCCAAACCACCCATTTTGCAGAATTCTGTGTCTCTGTTTTGGATCTAGCTACTTGCCATTACGGTTTATCTGTATATACGGTTAAGTTGTAATGATACAGTCAGAGCAATTTCCCACTGCTGGTGCTGGATGGCAGAGGGGACTCTGTCCTTTCCTCGGAGCAATGGAGGGGAAACGTCTAAAGAGAAATGTACCATCATGTTACACACCCCTTCTGTGAGGAGCTCTAAGGGGGTGGTTTTCTCATGTTAAAAAAAAAAAAAAAAAAAAAAGTAATTAGGTTTTACAAGCCAGAAGACTTTCTGATCCTGCCATGGGAATGCATAAGCTCAATGTTTTCAGTATTGCTGCTTACAGCTGTGACTAAAGACATTCCAGTAAACCTATTTTTGACTGTACGTGTGGAGTTCCTGCACGTCTTTATAGTGTTTGGAGGGAAGGGGAGTTGTATTGGGAACTCCCTACTGTCAGGAATCCCTGGGAAAGGGTGGTGGTTGGTGGTGTTGTGGTGGTGTGGTGGTGATCTCATCATCCCAGTATGGCAACTGTCATGCTCCTTCACCTTACTGTGGCTCTCAGGGACCCGAATGAATCTCCCTGATTTGTGGAGCAGGGGGTTGAGCTCCTCTGCTTGCAGCTGGGTCTGATGTGGGGGCCACGGAAAGGGGTGTTATCTGGGTGCACAAGCTCTGCTACCCTCAGTCCAGGCCCAATCCTGAGGTGGGCTAGAGGGGGGAATCRGTGCCCTGCAGAATCCCAGTGGTGGCTCCTGGCCTGAGCCTGCCTCCGGGATCTCGTGTGCAGTTTCCACCTGAGCGGTGCTGCGGCTCCATGCAGAGAAGGGGATTAAGGGTGAGCACAGCAGGGTGTTAGAGCTGATTACAAGCTCCACTTGCCCTGCTGGTGAGTACCTGGGGCTTTCCTCTTTGTGGACCCTGTTGGCTCCAGGAGGGAATCAGAAAGCCAAGCTGGGTTTTTCCTTCTAGCATACAGGTTTTCTAGCCAAGGTTTTAAGATCCTGAAGGCAAAATAGTGCACCCAGGGAAGGGATAAAAATCATCTTGCTTATGCCTCTGGCTGCATTCCATCTGTTAGAGATTAAGAGGGTAAATGAAGAGTGACTGATTTTTCAGGGGGGTTGCAGGTGTCTGAGGTCTTCTGCCAGATGACTAGGAAGTGAGTTAAAAGCAGTGCAAGCCCATGTACTACTGTCTGTGCTGTGCTTCAGGGCAGGCTTTACTCCTGCTGCTGGCGAGTCCTGCCAACACTGCTGGTGTTGGGTGCTGCTGGAGAAGGGACAAGACGGTGCAAACTGGAACCACCAACACTGCCTCTGCAGGGTCTGGCAGGTCTTTGCCAACAACGTTGTCCTAGGGAGTTGCAGTTAGTGCTGAGCTCCCACAGGGTGACAGTGTAGATGTACAGCCCTGGGGAAGGCTGTCATTAGCAGCATCCTAGCTGCTTAGAGGAGAAATGCAAGTTTTTCAGCTGAACTGCTAGAATCCATGGAAGAAGCGGSAGCGAGGTTACCTTCCCCTTCCCTACTTGCCTTGTGTGTGCTTCCTGCTCTGAGCCACATACCATGTCTCGTGGTATGTCTCATGTCTCAGGAGCCAGCCTGAGCCCAGACCTTGGGAGCGGGCAGCCTTTCCCCACGGTGCCTGGCCAGAGCGGGAGCACCAGCTGAAGGGAGGTAAGTCCAGACCTCAGGGTCTCGTTGAGGTAGAGGAGTGGTGGCCACGGGTGTTTTGAGCACTTGTCAAGGCTGGGCTTGGCTTATCCCAAAACAGTGCTGGAGCATGCTGGGCATGCTGTTTTTTCCACCCCAGTCAGCCTGCAGCTGAGTGGGGCTGGCTTTTCYGCAAGAGGTGCGTGTTCCCCATGCTGATGTGTTGTGCCTTSATGGCTGGAGCAGCTCCTGGCAAGGGCCCASGTGTTCTCACCAGGTAGCTTTGCCCAGAAAACATGGCTTTGCTGTGGAAAGCAAGTGTTAAAACAAACAGCTTTAACTATTGGTTTTAATGTGGAGTGTTTTAGGACCACCTGGGCTTTGTTTCTGCACCCACCAGCTCCTTTGGGAGCATGGTCTGATACTGAAGGAGCTGGACCGCTGCAGATCACTGAACCCTGCAAGCAGGATCACGGTCTGGTTCATCTCCTTTCCTCGACAGTGAGGGCTGTTCAAGTGTTTTTGCAGCTTCTCCCAGGAGGCTGGGGTGCAAATGTCTCTGCTTGGTATGAAAGGCAAGAGCTGCTGAGGCCAAAGACCAGGCACTGCCTCCTGCGCCCCTCCAAGACACCAGCCGTGTTTTTCATGGTTTTAGGCCCAAGTTGCTSAACACCAGGTCGCTCTTGAGCATCTGGCCCTTCCCGGGACACCAGCTGTGGTGGGAAAGTGGACCCGAGAGTCCCACTCTTTGATCCCTGGTGTRTTTTGGGACAGATCTTCATGTGCTTCTTAGCCCTACTTTGGCATTTAGGTTATAACCCCTGGGGTCCCGCTGTGGAGTGATCAACAAAACAACAGTGCCTGGAATAGGGTCRTCATTCACGACGGTGCCAGGGAGATGCTGTCTGTGTGCCTTGGGGCTGCATTTCATTTTGATCCTGCGAAGGAGATTTTGCAACAAAAACAAGTCCTCCACCCAAGTGGAGGGTCTGTTTTCTCCATTCCCTCGTTGTGCAGGAGGCAGATCTCTTCCTTAGCGGCTGTTTTCCACAGGGCTTTTTACAAGGGAACGGCATGTTTTGGCCAGAGTCGTGTGCTCCTTGGCCAGGGCTGTGACCGGCGTGTTGGGACCCCTCACGCTGTGCTACAGAAGCTGCAGAGGTCTGTGGTGGTCCCACGAGCAGGGAAGAAGGCCTCCCCTCCTCATCCCTGGCGCTGGGACCAGCTGGGACACGACAGGGGCAGCCAGGAGGTCACAAAGGGGAGAGGCTCCTCTGGGTTCTGGCCRTAAACAGCAGCAGTGCTCCGAGCACGTCCAGCTTCCCCCTCCTTTCACTTGACTCCAAGCCGATCGCCGCCTCCTTCCCCCGGGCCCCCCAAACACCACAGCCGCCTTCCCAGGCGCAGCCTCCCAGGGCGGCTCCGCGAGAGCGCGGAGGCGCCAGGAAAGTCGCCGTCACCGGCCCCGAGGAGTAAACAGGGCGGGCGCCCCGCGGCGCCCAGGTGCAGGGGCGCGGGAGCCAGCGGCGGGGGCGGCCATGCCGGGGCGGGGAGGCCGGGCCCGCCGCCATGACACCCCCATGGCGGCGCTCCCGCCGCTGCGGTTTGGCGCCGCCGCAGATCTCGCGAGACTTCGCGGGGGGAGGGGAGGGCGGAGGAGAAGAGGGCTGCTCTGCGCACGCGCGCGCCCTCCCTCGGAGCACCACAAGCGTTCCCGTCCCGCCGCGTCCGTCCCCGCGGCACCTCCCTCCTCATTGGCCGGTGCGTTGCTATGGGGCCATGGCGCCGCTGCGCGGATTGGCGGCTCCGTGCGCATGCGCCTGGGCCGCGCGGGGGTCCAACATGGCGGCGCCGGCGGGCCGGAGCGTGGTGTTCGTCACGGGCAACGCCAAGAAGCTCGAGGAGGTGCGCGGGGGGGGGGCGGGTTACCTAGCAACCCGGGGGCGCTGCCTAGCAACCCGGTGTTGCGGGGGGGGGGGTGCCGACGCCGCCTCCCGGCCCGCGCAGGTCGTGCAGATCCTGGGCGACTCCTTCCCGCACAAGCTGGTGGCCCGCAAGATAGACCGTAAGTTGGCGGCGCGGCGCGCCCTCGTCCCGCTCCGCCGCGCGGCCCGGCCCGCCCTGACGCCGCCCCGTGTCGCCAGTGCCGGAGTACCAGGGCGAGCCGGACGAGATCTCCGTGCAGAAGTGCCGCGAGGCGGCGCGCCAGGTCACTCGCCGCGCCGCGCCGCGCCGCTCCGCGCCGCTCCGCGCGGCCGCCCGGGGCCCGCGGCCCCGCCGCGCGCTCACGCCGCCGCCTCCCGCCGCAGGTGCGCGCGCCCGTCATCGTGGAGGACACCTGCCTGTGCTTCAACGCGCTCGGCGGCCTCCCGGGGCCCTACATGTGAGTAGCGGCGGCCCTGCGCCCTCTCCGGCCCCTCTGCGAGTGCCCTCGGCATCAGTCCCGACGTGAAGTGTTTGAGCCTGGCCTTGCTGCCGTTCTCCCTGAGACCCGTTTAGTTTAACACTAAACTGGCTCTGGGTTTGGGGACAAGTGGCTTGGATCAGGTGGTTTGGAGGCAGCCCATCTGAAAGGCTCTGAAAATGAAGTCAACAGTGCCCCAGGAATAGCTGTTTTTCAGTGTTTTCATGGGACAAATCATGATCTCTTTTTTTTTTTTTTTTTTTTTTTCTCCTCTTTCAGAAAATGGTTCCTGGAGAAACTCAAACCTGAAGGTACTGCACCTCCGAGTTTCTGCCCTGCAAGTTAAATGGTTCTTCTGAGTGGCGGGGCTCTGGGAACAGAGCTGTGCAGCCCACGCATCGCTGCCGTTGCTGAGTTGCCTGGTGGACTTGCTTTGCCATCTGCCTCGTAGCTGTGTCCTTCTCCCTCTGTCCATCTCTGTCCCTTCCCGTTCTCTCCCTAAGCCTCTTCTCTGCCCTACTGCTTTGGATTTGCAGATTTCTGCCCCTGCGGTGGGTGGCAGGAATTACTTGTCTGTCATCGAGGTGATCTGGAAGGCCTCCTGTCCCCCAGGCCTCCACACAAGCTGCTCTCCGTGAGTGCTGCCTTGTGCTGCCGTGCCAGAGCACAGTGGCTGCGTTAGCTCCCGCTTAAGAAAAGAGCTGCAAATCCCCTATTGGCATCACGAGTGCAGGCAGCTTGGAGGGCGCTTTGATCCTTCTCCGGGGCCGTGTGCTTGTTTGCTTCCGCCAGCACAGTGGAGCCCCGTACTTCTTCCTCTTTGTTCTTAATGTGAGCTAAGACTACTCCCCTGGCTCGCCTCGTGCTTGGGTGTTTTGCCCACCAAAGGAGGTGCTGTGACAGTAGGAGTCTCTCTTTCTTGTTTAGGTCTGTACAAGCTGCTAGCTGGCTTTGAGGACAAGTCTGCCTATGCTCTCTGTACCTTCGCGTTCAGTCCTGGAAACCCGGAGGAGCCAGTGAAGCTCTTCAAAGGCCAGACACACGTACGTGGGGTGCCTGGGATGCACTGAAGGGAAGGGCTGTAATGTGACTTTGTTAGTGGCATTGGCTCTAGTGAGGTCGTTAGCAACCAACAGACCAGCTGGATCACCAAGAGCTTGTGGAGGAGAACAACTGCTCTTGCTGAAAGGTTTCCCACCCAGCTCTGAGGGCAGCCCTTTGAATTCAGTTAGAGGTGGAGCAGAGTGCTTTCAGCGTAGAGCAATATGCTGATCCATTGAATTTTGGTTGTGTCTTGGGGAACTGCTAGGAATGCGGACAGTGCCAAGCCTTTGGTGTCCACATTGTGAAGGGTGGCTGAGGGCAACTTTTCAGCCTGGTTTGAAGTGTGACTGCAAGACAAGCACTGGGGAACCATGACTTTATGGGGCTTTTTCTTTTGAATTCTCCTGGCAGGGGCTGATAGTGGAGCCCAGAGGCCCTAGAGACTTTGGCTGGGATCCCTGCTTTCAGCCTGATGGCTATGAACAGACGTAAGTAGCTTTAGCTCTTTGCATAAGGAAAGCGAGGGCTTGATATTGCATCTTGCTTCCATGTCAAGAGGACCTGCTAAACAAATAAGAGGGGTGGGAAACAAGTCTTTTCATATAAAACATGCAAAGCAGAGGTTCCCACTATGCTGTGAACTGCTCGTGAGTTAGGAGGACTTGAGGGATTCTTTCTACCCACCTCTGTCAGCTTGATTTCTGTGCCCGAGATGTATGGAGGTCTTTTATCCATAGTGAAAGGGCTCCTGTGATTGAACTGGTAAGTGAATGTGCCTGCAGCAGGTATTGCGGGAGCTCAGAGAGTCAGTGTGGAGAGCAGACACATGGATATGATGCCCCCTTGCCTATGGAGAACATGGGGAAAATTCCGGGCTGCTACAGAAGGGGCAGGGGGACATGTGCTGGAACGTCTCTGTTGCTGTGACCTRTCTTGGCTTCTCTCGCCCTCAGTTACGCTGAGCTGCCCAAGGCAGTGAAGAACTCGATCTCACACCGTTACAGAGCACTGAGCGAGCTTTCCACCTTCTTTATCCAGAACAACTCGACAGACGCCCCAGACTGCCTCAGCTAGTGCTCTGCCAGCTGTGGGCGCTGGTGGCTGTGAGATCCCCTTCCAGATGAGCCCTTCTATTAAAACGGCTCATGCTGGGGCCACAAGGACGTGTTTCTGCCTGCTGTGTGTCTGTGGGGGACATGGAGGCCGGGCCGCCGCCTTCCCCGGCGCAGCGCGGCCTGGATCCGCGCGGGGGCAGCGTGGCGGCGGGGGCGCGCCGGGGGAGCGCGCGCGCAGCTTTGCCCTGCGCGGTAGGGCGAGCCAATGGGAGCGCTCGTCGCAGGAGGCGGCGGCCAATGGGCTGCCGCGACGTCACGGGGCGGAGGCGGGCGCGGCGCCACGTGCGGGCGCGCCGGCGGGAGAGGGGAGGGCGCGCGCGGCGCCGCCATGGAGCTGCTGCCGCGCAGCCCGCGGGACTTCGGCTCCGCCGCCTACTGGGAGCGCTTCTTCCGCCGGCGCGGCCAGCGGCCCTTCGAGTGGTACGGGGCCTTGCCCGAGCTGCGCGCCGTGCTGCGCCGCTACGTGCGCCCGCGCGACAAGGTGGGCCAGCGGGGCGAGGCGGGAGGGGCCGCGGCGTTCCCGCCCGTGGTGCCCCCGGGGGGAGTTTCCCGCGGGGAAAACGCGCCCTGTGTCCCCGGGGAACGCGTGCGGGGCCGCGGCTGTGGGCGAGCGCCGCGGCTGGCGGAATGCCCRGGGCCCGGAGCTCTCTCTGCAACCGCTGTTCTTACCCCACTACGCAGGTCCTCGTGGTGGGCTGCGGGAACTCGGAGCTCAGCGAGCAGATGTACGACGCGGGCCTGTGTGAGGACATCGTGAACATCGACGTGAGCGAGGCCGTCGTCCACCAGATGCAGGAGCGCAGCGCGAGCCGGAGGCCGGGGATGAGCTACCTGCTGATGGAYGCGCTGCAGATGGACTTCCCTGACGCCCTCTTCCAGGTGGCCTTGGACAAAGGCACGCTCGACGCCATCCTCRCCGATGAGGAGGAGGCCACGCTCGCCAAGGCGGACAGGATGTTTGCCGAGATTAGCAGGGTGCTGCAGGTAGGGGGGCGCTACCTGTGCGTCTCCTTGGCTCAAGCCCACGTGCTGAGGAAGGCAGTGGAGTTCTTCTCCCAGGAGGGCTGGGTGGTGCGTGTCCACCAGGTGCCTGCCACTGAGAACAAGCAGCAGTTTGTCCTGCCTATCTTTGTCTACGTCATGACAAAGTTTAAGAAAGTCCCCGGCTCGGCACCGCAAATCCTGGAGATSTGCCCTGAGGATCAGGACAAGCCAACGCGGATGCAGAGCGTGGAGCTGCTGCTGGAGGCAGTGAGGGACAGACAGCATTATGCCCTGCTCCGCAGCCAGCTGAGCAAAACCTCTGGCACTGAGCAGCTTTCCCTGGATCTGTGCAGCASCCAGAGCGGGAGCCCTCGGTACACGCTGCACGTGGTAGACAGCCCCTCCATGAAGGCCTCTCGGGATAACCACTTTGCCATCTTCATCAGTGAGTACAACTGCAGCAGTTGTAGCCGCACTGACGTGGGAGCAGGAGCACCCCATCTTCATGGGATTTGGTTGGTGTTTTAATCCCTGCTCCGTGGTGGGAAGCACGTTGCATGCAGAACCTGGAGAGGAGAAGCAGGGCTGTGGGACACCCTTTTAACATGAGACGTGGCCTCTCCAGCCTCCCATGTCAACCCACCCTGAAGTGGGGATCTCCTGACTCTGTGGTGATGGAGCTGAGCTTGGTGCAAAGCTTTCCACAAATCGTGTAGTGGACACCCTCATGTCCTCATGCCTTTCCCCTGTGGTGCCTATCTTGAAGGCTGAGACAGTTGTGCCGGGGCCAGAATCTGGCCCGGGCTCGTCTGACTGCAGCCCTCTCTCAGTCCCACAGGGCAGAGAAACCGAGTGGCTCTTTGGGACAGAGGAAGGGCGGAGGCAGCTGGCCTCCAGCGCGGGCTTCAGGCGCCTCGTCACCGTCGCTCTGCACAGGGAGCAGCGCTACGAGGGCATGGCGGGCATCCAGGCCGAGCTGTCGGGGAAGGTGATGGAGCTGGCGCCGCCGGGCCTCCCTGCCGGGCAGCAGGTGAGCCCTGGCACCAGGCCCCTCTCCCGGCTTCCCTGCGAGCACCTGCTGGCTGCGGCCTCCCCTTCCACGAGGGAGAGGCGCTTGCAAAGAGCAGCGGGGAGAGTGGCCTCAAGCGCAGCCCCATCTCCACTGATATAAAACTTTGTTGCAAGAGGTCTCCTGGCCGTTCGCGATTTATGCCCCAACGCATAAAAACTCTGGGCAAGTCCTGGGGCTACTCCAGCGCATCCTTCTGTTCCAGAGGCACCTCTGCTTCATCGCAGCGTTTTTTTTTCATGTGAGTCCATGTGTTCCTTGCAGGTGCCTTTCTTGTCCGTGGGAGGTGACATTGGGGTACGGACGGTGCAGCACCGCGACACCAGCCCCCTGAGCGGGGAGTATGTCGTGGAGGATGTCAAGGGGGATGACAAGTGTTACTTCCGTCGCCTCATCTTCCTCAGCAACAGGAACGTGGTGCAGTCAGAAGCCCGGCTCTTGGCCCCAGCACCTCTACCAGGTACATGGGGCTTGGGAGAAATGGAAGGGACTGGAGGAAGAGGTAGGGGCCAAGGGTGGCAGAGACTGAGACTGATACAGGGAGGTGTTGTCCAAAGGTGGCTCTGAGAGCTCTTTTCTCTTTCTTAAATCTGTGTAACTGGGGGAAAAGTCCGTATCTTGAGATAGTGCAGCTGCATTGCTCGCTCTTCACCTGATTTCTCATTCAGGCCAGAAGAAACGGAGGAAGGATAAGAAGAAACCTGGCTCCATTGAGGCGCCGTCGTCCATCGACAAGAGCTACCTGTGCTGCGAGCACCACAAGGCCATGGTGGCTGGGCTCTGCCTGCTCGAGAGCACTGACCCCCTCCCAGGTAACGGGGCCAGCGGTGAAGGGCCAAGTGAGCCCCAGCTTGCTGGGGAAGGGGCTTTCTGGCCACAGGAGCCTGACAGGCCCTTCCAGAAGCGGCCTGGGGCAGCCGGGTTGTGGTGGTCCTGGCGGYTCATGCAGGTTCTCTCCCTTGGCAGGAGCCCCGCTCTCGGTGCTGGTGGTGGGGCTTGGCGGGGGCAGCCTGCCCCTCTTCCTTCACGACTACTTCTCCCAGGCCTACGTGGCCGTGGTGGAGATTGACCCCTCCATGCTGGAGGTGGCCACACGCTGGTTCGGCTTCTCCCAGGGCAACCGGATGCAGGTGCACATCTCCRATGGCTTGGACTACGTGGTTAAACTGGCAGCTGAAGGTACCACCTTGTGAAGCAGCCCAAGGGCTCCCACTAAACAGGGTGGGTGGGTTATGCAGGACAGAGGTCCCTGAAGCAGGAGGCACCCACAAAACCTTTGTACAGATCTTGTCTGCACTCCCATGATCGGCTTCTTGATCCTCTGCTCTCCATCCTGCCCTCCCAAAGGCCTCCAGCTGTCCCAGGTGCTCTTTTCCCCCTAGTCCTCCCTGCCTCGTCCCTCTGTGTCAGCTCTGATGATCTTGGGTGATGTTGCCACAGTCTCTCTGGTATTTCTTGCCAGGACAGGAGGGATTGTATTGACTGTCTCCTTCAGTGCTTCCCCACCGTGAGCATGATGCATGGTTCCTAGCCCTACCCTGCAGGGCTAATGACTCTGCTGCCTCTCCCGCAGCCTCGGCCCGATACGATGCCATCATGTTTGATGTGGACAGCAAAGATCTCACAGTGGGAATGAGCTGCCCGCCTCCAGCATTCGTGGAAAAGCCCTTCTTGCAGAAGGTTAAAACCATCCTCAAGCCAGAAGGTAGGAGGGGAGGTTTGGTTGTGCACTTGCCTGTGTCCTGCTGTCGGTGTTGAGCTGGGGAGCTGCTGGGTCAGGCAGGGTGAGAAATTGCTGGGTTTTAAGGTTGCTGGAAAGCAGAAGGTKTAGGTGGAATCCTGAAATGGATTGTATGGCTGCCTACAGCCCAGACAGTGGCGGGGACATGGAGCTGGGCCAAGGGCACCGGTGGGGTGTCAGTACTTGTCGTGCAGCCAAGGGCTGCCATGAGAGAGGCAGCAGACTTGCATGAGTCGGGTTATTCCTGGCATTTGGCAAATGTTTGCTCATCCGTTTGTCTGCCCGCCTGAGCCAAGGGATCTGGAACTGGGAGAGAAGCAGAGTGAGCAGAGACTGAGTGTCCCCATTGCTTCTCACCCCTGCTGCAGGAGTCTTTGTGCTGAACTTGGTGTGCCGAGACGCCCAGCTCAAGGAGTCTGTCCTGGCCACCCTCAGGGAAGTCTTCCCACTGCTGTACGYGCGCTGCATCGATGGGGAGGTCAACGAGATCCTGTTCTGCCAGCCTGGCCCCCAGGGGCCCCTSCAGCCCACGGAGCTCCTGGCGCGTGCCCAGGCGCTGGAGACGGCCCTGCGCCAGCCTGGGCGCCCCTGGGACAGCTCCTACATCCTCACGGACATGCTGCAGGCTGTGAAGATCCTGTGAGAGGGGCTGTGACGGGAGAGAGGGATGCCTACATGGGTGCCGTGGCTGCGTCTGGGACTGCTCTGCCAGAAGGCTGTGGTGGGCCCCAAAGGCTCCCCGGCAGTGTGAGGGAGCCCTGTGTGACTTGTGGGGGCTCGGGGGCCAGGCTCTACAGCAGGAGCCCCTGTGGTGCAGTCTCTTGCCGTGGAAGCACGGCTCGGGAGGGCACCAGGCTGGCAGGGCGGGAGGTGCATGGGTTGATGCTGCTTTGCAGCCTTGCATCTGGTGGGAAAGCACTCTGCCAGCTGTGCCTTTCCTTTGCAGAGCAGCTCCCTCCATCAGATCCTGCCTCTCCCCAGCGTCCAGGATCYGTGTGATGTGGCTGGGGACACATGTACAGAGGCTGGGAGCTGTGACAATAAAGTCAGGGCTTTGCCAGGCTKATGCATCTCTGTTGGGGTCTGGTGAACTCTCTGTTGGGGTCAAGAATGGGACCAGCCAGGGACCAGGGAAAGAGTTGAGTGTCCTCAAAAAGCTTCCAAGTCGCCAGCCCAACAGGGTGGAGGGGATCCTGGCAGTCCCACTTTGCTCCTTTGCCTGGCCTGCATCTGAGCTGAGGGAGCCAGATGCTTTTTGGATTTTTCCTCTTTCCCTCTCCCCCTTTTTATTTCCCCTCCTTTCTTTTTTTTTTTTTCTTTTGTCATTTTTTTTGCTCTTTTTATTTACTCCTTTGTCTCTCTTCTTTTTTGCTTCTCCTTTCTCTTTTTTAAGTCCCTCCTTTTTGCTGCTCCTTTCTCTCTTTTCTTGCTGTTCCTTCCTCTTCTTTTGTGCTACTCCTTTCTCTTCTTTTTTTTTTTTTGCCCCCTTTTTGTTGTTCCTTTCTTTTCTGCTTCTCCTTTCTCTCTCTTTTCTTCTTGTTCCTTTCTTATTTGCTGCTTATTTCTTTTTTGCTCATCCTCTTTTTTTTGCTCCTCTCTCCCCTCCCTTTTTCCCCTCTTTCTCCCTCTTTTCTCTCTCTTTGATTTGTTTTAAAGACTTTTCTTCAGGTCTTTCCTATGCTGTCAAGTCTTTTGAAGCTGTTGCAAGGGTTAGTGCCCATCTTGGGGCCTGCTTCCCACCTCAGATAAGCGACGGCAGCTCAAGCGCCCTGCATTTTACCCCCTTTGCCACTTGCTGCCTTCCCCCAGGGCTCGCACAAAGGGCGCGTTGATCCCAAGGCCGGCGCTTCCTCGTCGCCCTACGCTGCCACATCCTGCGGGGGAACAAAAGCCGCCTGTGCGGAGCCAGTGCCAGGGGGAGCCCAGCGCGGCACAGCTGTCCCAATGGCGCCCTACCACTACTGCACTGAAAAGGCCAGAAAACCTGTCAAATCAGTGTAATAACCATACTATTGCAGCCCGTCAGCTCTGTGTACTCCCACCTTGCCTTTTAATCCACCTGAGCGCCGTTTTTCCCGGGTCTAAACGCTCGCGGAGGACGCAGGGCTTGTTCCCTCAATTCCCTGAGGAGATCGCCTCAGCACCTCGCTGGGGGCGTGGCCTAACGGTCGGGGGCGTGGCCCCGCCGCGGCGGCCCCGCCTCCGCGCTCAGCGCTGCGGCGCGTGCGCAGTGCGCCGGCCGTTACCTGTCAGCTGCGGCGGCGTAGGAGGAGGCGCGGAGCGGAGCGGGACGGCGGGATGGAGGGGCTCATCCCGCTCGTCAACCGGCTGCAGGACGCCTTCGCGGCGCTCGGCCAGAACTGCCTCCTTGACCTGCCGCAGATCGCCGTGGTGGGCGGGCAGAGCGCCGGCAAGAGCTCGGTGCTCGAGAACTGCGTCTCCAGGTGAGACCGGCGCCCCCCACTCCCCCGCGCCCAACGGCTGCTCCCCAACGGCTGCTCCCCAACGGCTGCCCGCGCGCGCCTCCCTCCCTGCCTCCCCCCACCCTCAAAGCAACGGCCGCCCGCGCGCCCCCCTAACGGCTGCCAACCGCCCTAACGGTGGCCTCGGCGCGAGCCGGGCTGCTCGGGGCAGCCTCCCCTTCGTCCCCCGGCGTCTCCCCGGTGCCCCGCGGGGGACCCGGGCGGGCGCGGTGCTGCGGCGTCCTTGGGCGCAGGTGGCGCGGATCCTGCTCCGYGCCGCGGGGAAGCGGCACAACTTCGGTGCGTGCCGTGGGGCAGCTGGCGTGGGCAGGGSAAAGGGGAAAGCCACTGAAATATAAATAAATCAGCGCCGAACTGTTCCCGGGGGTGGTTTAATTGGTAAAAGGTTCTTGCGCCATTAATGTTTGCAGTCCTCCTTCCATGCATAGTGGTAGAGCATCCCTGCTTAAAAGGGCCTAGCAAAACGGAGTGAAAGCTTGTGGGTTTGGCTGGTGTTGCCAGTGGCCTGACTGTATCTGTGAAGATCTCTTGAGATTAACGCAAACTTAATTGTCATTTCATGAAGTTCTGCCGCYGTTTGCAGGCTCGCTTGTGTCCTCAGCGTGTAGCCACGATTGTTAGTCTGTATCTGGGATCACAAGCGCTGTTTTGTCAGCGATGTAGGGGCTTTTCTGTGTGCTGACCTTTTCATTAAAAATAAGATTAAATGCTTTGTCTCTGCAGCTGGCCATACATCGAAGTGGAGTGCCTCTTAGCAAGCACTATAAAAATATCATATAGTTGTTGTTTCTATACTGCAATGTCATAATTTACTCTTCCTGTGCTAAAATTCTTTTTTTTTCCTTCTGTATGAAGGCTACAGCTACTTACCAATGTTGACAAGATTGTGAATCTGAAATTTAGAAAGYGTCAGTGGTCAGAGATCATCTGAAATTAGTCTTGGGCATCACGTTATTAGCCTTTCCTTTAAAAAGTCCTTGAAGAGTGTTTTTGTCGCCTTTGAGATCTTAATGTACTTGCTCTGCAAAGCTCTGCAAAACTTAGGTGCTGAGGCAAGGCAGTCTTCACTTCAAGTGAATTGTTTCGGACAGGTTTGGGGTCAGCAGCCACCAGGGACAGGGCTAGGGGTGGTGGACGGATCAGTGCTCCCAGGTGCATCTCGTCCTCTGCACCTGGAGGGTCCTGCTCCATCAGAGCCRCAGGTGGAGCTGTTGCTGTGAGCGTTTTTTTCTCCCCCCTCAAAATTTCCGCCAAGATGATGGGCCAGACTAGAGCAAAAACTGAAAATTGGGTTAGGGCACAAAGAACACATAAACACCCCTAGCAAGAGCTCTGAAGAAATTAGAAGGGCAGTATTTTTGTTTGTTTGTTTTCATGTGAATAGCTACTTATTCTGTACCTTGCYGATAATACTAGTTTGTAAAACTTCCAGGAAAGGATTCTCTTGTAGGAAGTACCACAGTGTTTTTATCTGAAATATGGGTGTTTTTCAAATAATCTGAGTTTAATATGATTGTTCTTTGCAGTAACTTGTTAAGATACAGCATCAACCCTATTTGCAAATTTGGAGCCTCTTACAAATGGGAGATTAAAATGAATTATTTTRAATCTATCTCTGTGAGGCTTAAGCAAATGTATTTTAGCCTTTACTCCTGGCTAAGTGAGTATGTGTGGTCAGCAGATGTGCAGCTACGTCTGTGAGAACTTGATTGTGAATCAGACAAGGAAATACGCATGGGATGGAAAGGGTGTTCTGATCATCAGCAGGCAAAGCAGTCTAGTTGTCTTCCTAAGCTTTAGGATATCCCTATTCTTATGGATCTGTAAGCGTCACCTTTGATAGTGATAATGAAGCTGCTTTTTGTAAACGAGGAGTGTATTACATCTGTGTCCTCCTTAGTATGACCAATACAGGCAGCATATCTCAATGTAAAGATGCGTTGCAGCCTTTTAACACCATATGAAACGTTATTGTAGGCAGATTTTTGTACTCTTAGCCTACAGAGTGACAATTAAACTCCACTTTCCCTTGGGAACAGCAGTTACTGGTAACAGGATGGTGTACAGCACTCCATGGGGCTCTGCACAAGTGTACTCTTGGTTAGTTACCTGCATGTTTACTATAGGAACTCTGGTGAGGGCTAGTAAGCTTCTTATTCATATTAACTCTGGGATCAGAATTTTACTCTGCTGTCTGTAGCCACTAGGCCACTGTACCCCTCTTATAGTCCCTCATAGGGTCTCTCCTTGTGCAAAGACTTTTTACTTTGCAAATGGCACCACAGCTCAAGTTTYTTTCTGTGAAGTTTCTTTAACCGCCAGGGAAAGATGCATGGTCCAACATCTAGTTTGTGTTGCCGTGATCTTTCAGGACGTGCATGAGGGCTGTGGCTCTGGCATAGCTCTGTGAACTGGCAAGAGATTCCAGGAGCTGGATCCAACTTCTGTTATTTCTGAAGGTGTTGGGTGACATGCATTCCTTGCTGTCCCCAGGGCAGCAGTTATCCGATTGTGTTTAGGTATAATCACGTTTTGTTTCTGACAACTATCAGCAAGTAAGTTAGGATCGGTTTGCCTGTTTGACAGAAGTCAGTGCTAATGTTGCACAAGGATGAATTTTGAAAGTTTGTCTGCCTCAGGAATTGTGTGACAACCAGAACTGTCATTGTGGCAACGGCTTGGAACAAGGTTGGAGCGCCTGTTTAGCTGTGAACATTTGAATTAGCATTCATTAAGGTGTCTAGAGACCTTACTGTTTACTTATTGCTTCTCTGTGTGTAAGGAGGGTTTACTCTCTTGGTTTTCCAGAGGATATATACAGATTAAAATAGAGATTCTGGGGGGAGGGGGGGGGGGGGAGAGAAAAAAAATGGCTATTTGCTTTTAGGGGGTGGCCTTCATGTGTCCCTAGCTGGAGCTCATGGCGCTCATTTGAGGAAGTGCTGTTGTCGGAAGAGAGTATCATAAGAGCAAATGTTCTTCTATCCCTTCTGCTTTGTAACAGAAGTAAATATGTCCTAGAAAGACTGAGCTAGCGTTTAAAGAAAAGGATGTAATCTAATCATACTGCAAACTGGTGGCAGAGATATTCAGAAGCACAAAAGGGAATTAAGAACCAAATGCTAATCGAGCTTCCATGGAAGCTCGACACTTCTAGTCCTGTTCTTTTGCCGTAGGCGAGAACAGGATCATGACTGTATGTATTGTTTATGCTTTTTAAAAATCTCTTCTTTTGATAATAACAGGATAACTTAAAAGAAAACTAATGGCAGGAAGCAATCCATGGAAATTGTATTTGGAGAGAAAGCATTTTCTATTACTTCATGCAGCAAAATGGGCTTTTAAGATCACTTGCCATCTGTGATTTCAGTTATCTTGTCAGGGCCTCTTTCTCCAGGTTGGAATCAGAGCCCTATTTTATTTATAACAAATAGTGAAAAATTAATAATTAGATTTTAAAGCTAAAAGCTCCTTACTTCCTCTTCTGCTTAATGCAATATAAACTGCATGTGGCCAAATAATTCTTTTATAAGAGATGTGAACTCTCGGTTGCAAGCCTGTCATTCACAATCAAACAAGCACTTTCATTTTAAGAGCCTGAGGTCTAATTCTGTATATACAGCTCTGCAGCTCTCTGATCTCAGAGGCTTTTGATAATCTTATGTCCACTGCTTATTGCATAACTTTTCGTAATATTTATTATGAAATCTGTACTAATTTATGATTTTTCAAATTACAACTCCCCATGTACCCAGCCCATTCTTCCTTGAGATGGCGGTTGTGGGGAGGAGGAAAATAGAAGACTGTATTGAGTCACTGAGAGGAAAAGAAAGGAGTCTCAATCTGACTATTAAAGCAGAGCATTTCTCTAAAGAGAGGACATGTACTTAGATTGTGTGCTTCATAGGAGAGATATAGTTAAAATCATGCAGATACTTTATAGGCTTAGCTATTAGTCATTGACAGAAAAGATCTTCTTTACAGAAATCTTTTTCCTCTTATGTTGAACAGAAATAAAACCACTAAACAATAGATTTGAAATGAAATTTGTTGTTGTTTTTCCTTTTTTTTTTTTTTTGAAAGGACCTAATGGAAATGAGAATTGGCCACTCCTTTTCCTGACTAATTAAGCTATTGTGCAGCTGTATTACTGCATTAATCTAGTTATCAAAATATTCTAGTACACTGAGAATAAGAAGTGTTTCTGGCTAATCTATTAAATAGAAACAGTAGAAAATGAGACATATCTCCTTAATTCTGCTCCTCRAATGCTTTATTTTTTTAGCACATTTGGGGGAAGCAAAGCATATTTATACTTCTGGATGTGATAGAGATGGCCTGGTTTTGTCCTTAGATATAACTCTGTGTATTTTAAGTTTCCCAGTGGTCATGCAAACAACATTGCTGACTTTTTTTTTTCTTTTTTTTTTTTTCAGGGCTTAAACTAAAAGGTTTTTCTCTAGACCTGTTTTTGAGGAACCTTTTGTCTTATTTTGGGCATTTAAATTTTGATGATTGAAAGAATTTTTTAAGAAAAGCTGTGTTCAATAATGAGCTGTGGTATAGCAAACCCTGCCCTTATATTCTGGATTTTGAGTTCAATGTGTCCAGCAATTTACAGAGATGTTAGACAAAAATCTTAAGCATTACATTTTGACTTATCTATGAAAATACATATGGTCTTAATCACTTACACTGCTTGTGTAAGTTCTCGTAGTCCTGTGATTTACTGCATGCAGGCTTGAGAGTTGAAGCCTGAGACTTTCAAAAATGGAAAAAAAAAAAAAAAGGGGGGGGGGGGAAAGAAACCCTTCTTTCAGCAAATTCCCCCCAGTCTTGAGTGCCTTTGGGGAAATCAGTGCTGCTATTTCAGTGGCTGTTGATAATGGCTTTCAGTGTGTCAAGGTACTGAAAGTGCTGCATGCTTCCGATAGCTTTTAAAGGTGTCTGCTTACATTTGT